AGACAGACAGACAGATAGATAGACAGACAGACAGACAGACAGATATATAGATGGATAGACAGATATATAGATAGACAGACAGACAGATAGATACATAGATAGATAGATAGATAGACAGACAGACAGATAGATAGATAGATAGATAGATAGATAGATAGATAGATAGATAGATAGATAGATAGATAGATAGATAGATAGATAGATAGATAGATAGATAGATAGATAGATAGATAGATAGATAGATAGATAGATAGATAGATAGATAGATAGATAGATAGATAGATAGATAGATAGATAGATAGATAGATAGATAGATAGATAGATAGATAGATAGATAGATAGATAGATAGATAGATAGATAGATAGATAGATAGATAGATAGATAGATAGATAGATAGATAGATAGATAGATAGATAGATAGATAGATAGATAGATAGATAGATAGATAGATAGATAGATAGATAGATAGATAGATAGATAGATAGATAGATAGATAGATAGATAGATAGATAGATAGATAGATAGATAGATAGATAGATAGATAGATAGATAGATAGATAGATAGATAGATAGATAGATAGATAGATAGATAGATAGATAGATAGATAGATAGATAGATAGATAGATAGATAGATAGATAGATAGATAGATAGATAGATAGATAGATAGATAGATAGATAGATAGATAGATAGATAGATAGATAGATAGATAGATAGATAGATAGATAGATAGATAGATAGATAGATAGATAGATAGATAGATAGATAGATAGATAGATAGATAGATAGATAGATAGATAGATAGATAGATAGATAGATAGATAGATAGATAGATAGATAGATAGATAGATAGATAGATAGATAGATAGATAGATAGATAGATAGATAGATAGATAGATAGATAGATAGATAGATAGATAGATAGATAGATAGATAGATAGATAGATAGATAGATAGATAGATAGATAGATAGATAGATAGATAGATAGATAGATAGATAGATAGATAGATAGATAGATAGATAGATAGATAGATAGATAGATAGATAGATAGATAGATAGATAGATAGATAGATAGATAGATAGATAGATAGATAGATAGATAGATAGATAGATAGATAGATAGATAGATAGATAGATAGATAGATAGATAGATAGATAGATAGATAGATAGATAGATAGATAGATAGATAGATAGATAGATAGATAGATAGATAGATAGATAGATAGATAGATAGATAGATAGATAGATAGATAGATAGATAGATAGATAGATAGATAGATAGATAGATAGATAGATAGATAGATAGATAGATAGATAGATAGATAGATAGATAGATAGATAGATAGATAGATAGATAGATAGATAGATAGATAGATAGATAGATAGATAGATAGATAGATAGATAGATAGATAGATAGATAGATAGATAGATAGATAGATAGATAGATAGATAGATAGATAGATAGATAGATAGATAGATAGATAGATAGATAGATAGATAGATAGATAGATAGATAGATAGATAGATAGATAGATAGATAGATAGATAGATAGATAGATAGATAGATAGATAGATAGATAGATAGATAGATAGATAGATAGATAGATAGATAGATAGATAGATAGATAGATAGATAGATAGATAGATAGATAGATAGATAGATAGATAGATAGATAGATAGATAGATAGATAGATAGATAGATAGATAGATAGATAGATAGATAGATAGATAGATAGATAGATAGATAGATAGATAGATAGATAGATAGATATAGCCCCTTGTTGGGCCATATATTCATTCTTGATCTTTTTATCCTTTGCTGAAATACTGTATAATAGGCTGTGCGATATGTGGCATGTTCTCTTTACAGAACATCACCGTATGGTTTGGTTAGTTTCAAGGTTAGATACAAAGATAAAAAGGGCCTATTCATGTAAACTTCACAGAGAGAGAAAAAGCAAGAGCTCAGCATCAGCTTATTGCTTTTCCACAGGAGGCTTGTCTTTATTCAACAAAAAGTGGCATTTTTGATGAAAAAAAAGATTTCTTTGCCACAGTAAGTGACATTATTCTGACAGACAGTTCTACAGCCACACATGCGCATATTTAAATTTGCTGGTTCACATATCGTTCTTTGAACCTGGTTGTGCTCATAAACACGTAGATCACATGGATCCGATCAGAGGTTTCTGAAAAGCACAGAAATGAATGAGTATCACTGTATATGCGTTTAAAAAAAGAAAAACAAATAAGAATTCCAGAATAGCAGAAATGTTTGTTCACAATGAACAAGAAAAAACTGACTTCACTTTACTCAAGGCATCTCGCTTCATATCTCTCGCTTCATATCCTGTATTTAGTCTTATTTGCCACTGTTGGTCTATGTTACTGTTGAGAAATAAGTGTTAAGAGGAAGGATGCACGGAAGTGAATCACATCTGTCTATGCAGCTGATCTCATATCTGCACATATTTGATAACGCCTCAGCAGTCCTCTTTTAACTCTGGTTGCATCACATTTGATTTTGAAACAGACCAGTATGATCAAATGCAGGATAAAGTAAAGTTTAATGTGGCGTTAAAGCATTATTAGACTATCAGTAAGCGTGACCAACATCACAGCAGTTTTATCTCGTTTTCATTTGGATTTAATCATGTGTCTTATGTTTAATCGTATTACAGAATTAAATATGCACAACTGTGTCTTTGAAAACATGTTCTCCTAGCCCTTGTGCTGTGCTAAAAATGTCCAAATTTAGTGTTCCTGGTCAAAGATGACCGGCCTTTTAAAAATTGCTTATAAATCTAAAATGCTATATTACCTTTTTGTCAACTTGTTTTCTTTCGGTTAGCACAGGATTTGTATTTCTTTTTTGGAGCCGATTGGTTGTAGGCCTCATTGATCTGAGCTTATGCACCTCAGTTTTTGAGTAAAAAAAGCATTATTGGTGGATCATTTTGGCAATATTCACTTAAAAACTAAGGTGCTAGGCTCAGATCAATGAGGCCTATGACGAGTTCCCTGAAAACAACAATCAGTTGCAAAGATAAATACAAAATCTGTGCTAACTGAAAGAAAACAAGTTTATAGTAAAATATTGAATCTTATATTTGGTAATAATATAGCATAATTAAGTATTTTTTGCTGGCCAGTCATTTTTGATCAAGAACACCACAAGTGTAACAAAGTGAGAAACATATGTGATAGCATTAAATTAAAGGGATAGTTCTTGCAAAAAATAATACTTCTGTCATTATTTACTCACCCTCAAGTTATTCCAAACCCTTATGAATTTCTTTCCTCTGCAGAACACAAGAAAAGATATTCTGAAGAATGTTTCTGGTCCCCATTGACTTCCATAGTATGACTGAATGTCAGTTTCTGGTCCCCATTGACTTCCATAGTATTTTTTGTTTCATTCTATGGAAATCAGTGGGGACCTGCAGCTGTTTGATTACCAACATTCTTCAAAATATCTTATTTTATTATGGACAGAAGAAAGAAACATACAGGTTTGGAACATCTTAAGGGTGAGTAAATGATGACAGAAATGTCAGTTTTGGGTGAACTGTCCCTTTAACAAGCATTTTCGGAATAAAAGAAAATTATCTCTGGGTTCAAATGACCCAAACACAACAAGAGGGCTAGTTAACAGCTTAATGATCATTTTTAGTGTGGAGGTGACATTCAGTGAAATGACATTCAAAATGCAGTTTCTTCTGTATATCCATAATGAAAATACCATATATATTAATAATACTTCAATATTATTGCCATCAGAGGTCATTTAAGTCTATAAGAGTGTATGCATGTAGATATCACAATTATAATATTCATGAAATGGAAAATGAAAGTCAAGGTTGATATTATGAAAGAACAATATGTTTCTGTGAGTCAATGAGTCAGAATTGATGAGAAGAGAGACTCTTTCAGCATGTGCACTGAAGGTTTAGATTAAAATCAAGGCTGCAGAATCTGTTAGAAATTTAGGTTGGATGCCAAAATGCCCCCCAAAAAAAAAAGGTTGTTTTGATTTATGAGCGTTTACGATTTACCAGTTACTCAAGTCTGAGCCGGAGGTGAACCCAGAAGAATGTGCGCATTTCATAAACACTGTGATTCATCAGATCTTTAACTACCTGCTCATCATCTTTGAGGAAACTGGCACCGTAGGAATATTACAAATGTACTGAGAAGTAATTTTCACAATGAATATCATTACTATCATTTCTGTAATTCCATTAGTTTAGAGATATTACCCCCCTTTAGCATATTTCAGAATTTGATTGACACAGCGGACATGAACGAAAGTAACCTTTCTGCGCACCTCGGTAATTAATGTGTTTATGCATTAAAATCTCTGATTTAATTCAACTCAATCGGTTGAACTTTCTGAAACCCTTCCTGACATTAATTTGTATTCACGCTCAGAAATGTAAAGATAATGTGAGAATTCTTCGGTTCTCTGGAGGAAGTTTTTCGCTTCCGGTGCATTAGAAACACAGCCAGCGAAAATATATACATTTGCAGTTGGTGATGAGA